AAATATTGGACCATGCTTAAAATTCTGCACAAAAACTGTAAAGAATACTCCAGTGAGCTTATCACTGGGGAAATAAATATCCAACTTGTAAATGGGGCAAACTACTTCTGAAAGCACCTGTTTCTCTCATTTCACAACTGTAAATATAGGTGCTTTGCTCTCTGAAAGGTGTTCTATTCTAAATCTGTCTGGTCCTAAAGGGGCCGTTATGCTCTATTAGGAGCATGTGGTTCCAGAACCCCCTTCACTCTCATCTTTCCGATGAGGACAGGGGTTCCCAAACTTTTTCAGCTTGAGACCCAAAAAGAAATGTGGTCTCTCTCCAGGACCCAAACTTAGAAAAATACATCATGGATTGCTACAACATCTGTGTTTGTAAACTACCAATAATGAGCACAACAACCCCTGAATTTAAAATGTAGCCTATATTAAATATATTTATCTCATTATTCTCAGGAACTTAATTAATCCTGTGATGTACTTTGATAACGTTACATTTCTTACCATCTTATAACAAACTTGTATGAAACGAACATCACTGGGGCTGTTGACAGTAATGTTATATTCATTACATTCAGAATGAACAGACCATCCTTATCATAGGTAGCTACAGGTGTGGTGTAATATGCAGCTTACATGCCTGTCGTTTTATTTCATGTGTAGTCCAACCTGATCATACTCAGTGATCCACAGAGCTCTAATTTACTTCAGCCACCCAGTAACTTTCAGTAGAATGTAGAGTCTGTGCTGTTCCCTGTCCCTCCTTCTTCCTCTCCTTCTTTTTCAGTATGTTTACAGTCAGTCCCAGTCTCATTATTTTATAAAAGGGAGAAGACGAATTTTCACATATTTGAGCCATTTACACTGACATTTTTGCTTTTGACATTTCTTTGCAGAGCTTTAGCATTAACTTTACCATTCTGACTGCTGTAATCGTTCCTGCACTGACTGCACTCAGTGGCCACTTAACCTGAAGTGATTAGACGACGGTGGATCGAGCAGCTCTACGATAATTGCAGCAAACTTTCAGCAACACAGATCCTCCCTTGTGCACTGATCTGTCTGATGTTCCTGGCCCTTCATTACTTTGCTCATCATCACACGCAGCAGCTGTTTATAGTCCGAGGTTTAGCCTACTCTTTATGGTACCTGGTTCGTTAGCTGCTTTTGCGCACTCAGCATCAGCCAACAAGGCCGTTTTCTTGTTCTGTCACTCCTTTTCTGCACCGCCGGTCACAGGTTTTCTATCTCTTCAAGTTTCATTTGCTACCACATCAACTTTGCAGATGTGCAGGCAGCAGCTCTCAGAGCTGTTAAAGCTTGCGCCAGCAGTGTGGCTACAGCTGTTGAATAGCTGTTATCTGTATAGGCTGTAAAAGAGCCTAGCTAAGTGGCTTAGGAGAAAAGAAACTCGGGAGTTCAGTGGCCAGTCGGGGCCTGCTGAGATCAGGTTGAGAGAGAGAGAGAGAGAGAGAGCCTGGCACACAGCATCTGAACTAAGCACACCTGCTGCCCACATAGAAAAAAGAGCTCTCTTCTTCTAGTTTGATTTGGAAAATGAATTCATATATTACAGCATTGCTGTGCATTTTACTCTGCCAACTGGTGACCCAATAAAAACGGGTCCACGACCATTTTGGGTCTTGGCCCTAAATTTGGGAAAGCCTAGTTTAAGGGATGGCTTTGTTGAATCTTGTCTGTTACACCCACTTCACACCTTAAATTGGCCAACTGTGTAGAGGTGAGAAACCTTTCTCTTTTTTTGACATGATTCTCTACCTTTTCATGTGAACAACAGAATGTAACACTAAGAATATCTTCCAGGACAAACTGTCCCAAATTGTGTGAGGTTAGTCCTGTACCTAGGTTATATTGCAAACTGGTTGCTTTCTATTTTCAATTTGTCATTATGAATTTAAAAACAAAACAAACAACAAAAACCCTTTTTCAGTGCAGCTAAAATGAATCTTCTATTCTTAATGGCCTCAGCCATGTAAAACATACAGACCTGGGTGCATATGAAATGAAGTATTTGGATAAGAAGTCATTTGTTGGGGTTTGTAAATGAAGGCTGGTGATATAAACCTACATTATAGCATATATAAAACCAAAGGGGATAAATTGTGACCATTTGGGTTTCGATAGACTAACAGTAAAATCATTTGTGTTTATTACACATTCTGGCAGTAGGTCTCACTAACCCCTAGTGAAATTTCACACACTTTCCTTTCAGTGGGAAAGTGTTGTCAAAGTGTTGTCAAACTTTTGACTGGTAGTGTAAATAAAATTCTCTGTTTTGTTAGTGATCCCTTGGAGTCACTTCAGCTCTGCATGTAGGAACCACTGCTCAGTTGGTAGATGGATTTGCTATTGAAATATATTCAGTGAAAAAAGAATCACTGCATGAAGCCGGTGTGATTGGCATCAGTGAAGCCCAAAAAACACTGGACGTTTTGCCAAAGTCAAGTTTAAATCTGGTATTATAATGTCGTACAGTACATTGTGTCGTTTCAATATGTAGTCTTCATCAGATGTAATGGCACTTTGGCTGAATAATTTAGCTTCCCTCTTCAAGCCCGGAACAGTCCAGCAAATGATCCAAAACAGCCAAGCAGACACTGGATCAATTATCTTGGCTTACATTAGTCCTTTTTTTAGGATATAAAATAACATGCTGCCACTGTGTCTGCACTACTGCCCGAGGCATAGTATTCCTATGAGAGTACATTGTGTCTTTTTCCTCTTTCTTCTCCTACACCTTCTCTCTGTGAATACAACAAACTTGTGAGAGAAAGACAGAAGCACATTATTACAATTGGTAATTAAGGTTTGGCAAAGTATGGACTCATTTTAATCCTGATGGCTGAAGCCCAAGTGGAGTTTTCAGTGTTAAAAGAGGATTCTTTTTTTGTTTTTTTTGGGCAAGTAAAATCTTCATTCATTAGTGAATCGAATATGAATAAAGTTGGAGACTCATGACTGACGTTTTAAATATATATGGACAGCGCTGGCTGTCCAGATGGGGGAAGCTGTAGATGAATGAGCTGAATAGACTTCAGCCATGTGAGGCTGTAGCAAGGCACAGCAGTGCTCTGAGCTAAATGATGTCAGCCTGCTGACATGTCTAACAGGCATATTTATTATGCTCATGCTCTTGTTTTAGCATATTAGCTTCATAGCATTCGCTAATTTGCATTAAACACAAAGACAAGAAGTCAAAGGATCACTGTAGTTTCAAGGATCATGTAGGATCCATCCACAAAGTTTTGTGCCAGTCCTTTTACTAGACTTTAAGAAATGTCATTAGGCCAGTGAAACCTGCTGGAGTAATTGGTGGAAAAGGGACCATGGATATCTGTAATGCTACGTTTCATTAGCAATCCAACCAATGCTTGGTGAAACACCACAAAAATCCAAAAATGTCAAACTCCTAATCAAAATGTGGACTTGAGGGGGTGACTGTGGCTCAGGAGGTAGAGCGGGTCGTGTCCTAATGGAAAAGTTGGTGGCTCCATTCACAGCTTTTCCAGTTCATATGTCAAAGTGTCCTTAAGGAAGACACCAAACCCCAAGTTGCTCCTGGCTATAAAACCGGTGTGTGCTTAGGAGTGCAAATGGGTGAATGGGCAAATAGTGTGAAAGTGCTTTAACTATGCATATGCACTATCCAAGTCCTTTTAAATGTCACACTGACATTGCTATCCTTATATTACTTCTAGCTTGCTGAATACTCACACATATAGTGGCTTTAAAACAAGCCAATTAGTCAAATTTGAAGGGTTAACAAATGTATGTTCAACTCTGGAAATTCAAATTTTGAATTTTGATTACTTTTTGTAATAGTGCACATCATTTAAAATTGCAGCCAAGCCCCCCCACCACCACTATGGCCATAACAGGTCTGCAGGTGTGTTTAGGTTGTGTCCGTCTAAAACAAAGGTCACTGTCAGTGTTTGGGGACCAATATAAGATCAGGCTGAATTATTAAGGAGACTGGTGCATGAGGTGAATACAGCCCATACCCCCTTATCACTGGAAAAGCAAGAACCCAGATGGCTCACCTCATCAGCTGAGAGTCTGTATGTGGGTGTGAGATAAACTAATGTGTTTGCCAGCCACCAGGCTACAATTGGCCTATTTCTGCACACTGGCTTTCACTGAAGGTGAGATTTCCTCTACCAGTGGCCTCCTACAGATATGTTGTCCCACTTAGAAATTCCCGCTGGACTCTTGTCAGCAATCTAACTAAATAATCGGCTATAAAATCTCTGAAGTTAAGAACATACATCTTCGTTTGTGGCGGCATGCCAGTGAGAGGAGTCTCAATACTGTCAAGTTGCTGTTAGTCACCGCTGGATCTTTGATTAGAAAAAATCTATGTGTACAATGTGGAGGCTTTTCTCTGTGGGTTCACAGCCTGTTGAAAAGAATCACATCTGACAAAGACATACAGCAGTTAAATATATCTCTGCCCTGCCCTCTCTTGTTGCACTCTATCATATAAAAGTCAGAAAGTACTCTGAGGGATTTTTTTTACACATCTTTGATTCTTCTCCCTTCTTTTGCGTCATCAAAACATGACATGTTGGCATTGCTGGGGAAAGGTGAATAAGATTGACAACAGTAAACACACCTCAAGCAAATGCACCTGTCTCAGTAGATGGTTAGCCTTGGCACTGAGCTCTGCTGACGTATAAACACTGTAAAGGAGACTAGCGGTGAAGCACAGGGAGGATGCAGAGAAAGACACACTCACATACACACACAAAAGTTCACTGTTTTTTGTGGCAAAAAGTGTGAAGGAGAGACAGAAAACTGGAACAGGGAAAAGAAAATAAGTGGGAGGGAAACAGAATGCAAAGAGAGAAATGAGGTGTGAGAGAGAGGCAGAGAGGGAGATGAGTTGAGGAGGCGGAGAGATGAGAGGTGAGGGAGGGAGTAATATAGACGGGGAGGGTGGAGAAGAGAACGATAAGCCACACTTGGATGAAGCATTCCAGTTGAGCGAGGAGGGACTTTCAAGTGATGGATCGGGAAAACTAGACTGCAGGTCTGAGGTCCTCAGACTGGTCAGAAGAGCAAGTGCAGGGATGGGCAGATGAAGTCAGGATAAAAACCAGGTCCACAACTGATACAGACTGGCGTGACTTCTCTGTCTGGCTGTTTAACCTGATCTGAACCTCCTTACTTTTACAGAGACATACTCAAGATTTGGTCAGTTCTGGGGACGACTGACCACCAGGACTGAAGTCCAGCAGAAGTTGGAGGGAGTTCACTTGGAGTTGGATCCCACTGGAGGCACTATGGATCTGTACAAATGTTTGAGCTTACTTTTCTTCACTCTTCCTCCACAAGGTAAATCATTTCACCTCTTGTCAGTTGCAGTTTATTTGTCTCCCACACAAGATTCTGTATCACAAGGGAAATTTTTTAATTTATTCCAAGGTGAAAATGTATGGCTGTCAAGTTTATCGGCACCACAGCTGAGTGCCTGCATTTTCATTGTTTTGTTCTAACATAAAATATATATTATTTTGATATTATTTAGCTGGGAGATTTTTTTAAGGGGGGGAGGAGGTCCCAAGTAAATATTAAAAAGGCAATGAAGGGTTCTGTTGCATTTTTCTTTTTAAATAAAATAAGATTCAGCACTTCTCCCCATGCCAGTCATTTTCATCTGGTCCCTAGTGACGCTCCACTGCCATTATTCATTAGAAAGGCAATGATTTTACTGAAGGATAAACTAACGGTATGAATAACGCAATCACTGACAAAAACACAACCTTGAGGACACAAAAACTTTGTGGTTTCCTGCAGTTTCATTGGGTAACTACATCTGTTGCCTAGTGACCTGGTAACAGGATCTGCCTGCCTAGTCCAGGAGCGGCATTCACTGGAATAAAAAAGCGATATTTGCTGCATTATTTCATTTAAGATTTATTTTACCGGGGGAAAAAAAATCCCATGGTTTACTACCTCTTTTGCAAGGGAGCCCTGTTGGCCTAGGAGAGTGCATTGATCAGACAGAAGTGGGCCCAGTGGCTCTGACATCTCTGGATAATTAGCCAGGATGAAACTGTTTGACTTCTCTTTTCAAATCTGTAATTATTTGCAAATAAAATGATTACATATGATATTAGCCATCATTTCTGTGCTTTAGTATTTTAATAATGTTTCTGCATATTTCACATAATTTGTATTTGTGTGAGAGCAGGCTGGTAGCTCACATTTAAAAAGTATCTTTGGAGAGTGACATGATTTAAAGGAGAACGAACTGCATAATCTCACAGAAGAGAAAAAGATGAGTTATTATACTATATGATAGTCTCCATTCTGTGTAGTAATATCAGTCTGTACAAGTGGTACTCATGGTGTCCTGCAAAGCATACTGTACAGGAGTAAACTCATCCAAAGGTCACCTACTTTCTCCTGCACACATTGCTCTGACACACACACAGTCAAAGTCCCTGCAAGCTCCCCATCCAAACCCATCAGTTACAAGGCTGCCATAGAATCTACAGGAGAATCCCTGTTTATCTAATATCAGCTACATTCAAAAAAGATGTTGCTTTAAGCTTATGTGGCAAAACAAAGGTGTCTGTGTCTGTTTCGCTCATCTGAAATCATAGAGATATTTCAGGGTTGTTGGGGTTTGAGCCATGTCAGACAGATTCAAATGGAAACAGGAAGAAAACATGTAGAGGAAAAGAGAAAGTACTGTATATCCATTTAATAGATTATTGATCCTTAGCCTTTTAAAATTCTAGTTTTCAGGCAACTCAAGGACAGCCCATCAGCTTTGATTGAATGGGCAGGAAGAAGGAGGCCAGCAGCACGATAACACATTTGTTCCTATTTTAAGAAGACAAGTCAGAAGAATGGAGCATCCTTATGTAAGATAGATACATAGATAGCACACAACAAAATACCTGCTTAAAATGTACACAGCAGTGTTTCTTACCTTGTAATCATGACTCCAGTCATAACAATGCAATAAAACACCCCCAGTGTTTTGTGCAATAACCAGTTATGACCAATATGAAATATCATGCTCCGCATACAAGAAAGACATTGCAGTATGCAGTCGTGCCAGTCATGAAGTGAGGCCAGTTGAATAAATCACAGCCTGTGATGTATAGTTGTGCCAGTGAATTACCTGTACATATGCACAATGTCCAAAATAGAAAAATGCCTAAGTGAATATGAAAAAAAGAATTGTAATACAAAGGACGCTGTACTGTATGAGCCTGGAGACGATATCATTGTCTTTAATTGTTACCAGACCTCATTAGGTCATCCTCAGTGCTGTGTGAGCAGTTTTCTAAAAGGCTGGAGAGGGGTTTGGGAGGGGTTGAGCTGCTCCATCAGAGCAGTGACACTGACGCAGAAAGGGCGAAGGGGGGCGGTGAGGGAGGGAATCGCTCCATCAGCACATCTGTTTGGAGACACAACAGACGTCCTCAGATTCAGGTTCTTTCTTCCGCTTTTTCCCTCTGTCATTCATCCCCCTCCCCGCTCCCTGTTTGTCTCATGTAACCATGTGCCACTTGTATAGGAGGTCACCCTTTTTTTAGATTACACTCTGTATTTACAACAGTAGATTCTTTACAATGGCATAGTCGTGCCAGCTAAATCCATTACAGATGAATACATTCTAGATGGTAGTTTTAATACTAGATTCAGTATTAACATGATGTATTTCAAGTCATGGTTTCTGTTTCTTACATAAGTGTGCAAAACAAACTGGTTAAAAGAACATATGGAAGGTCTTGGCAGAGACTGCATGAAATCAACTTTCATAAAAGAAGACGAAGGATTTTGAACATTATTTATTGCATCTTAAAATCAATATGTCATGTTTTTAAAAATGGAATTAAATGTCACAAACAGGCTAGAAAAGGCCATCTCATTAATCTAAGCTTTCCTCTTATTTGTCTAATTTCTTATTTCTTTTTCAGCTTGTTTTCAACTTGAACCTCGTGCCCATGCTGAAGAGAGGCTGCTCCAGGATCTGTTTGTACATTACAATAAGCTCTCGCGGCCTGTGGAAAACACTACAGACACAGTGCTAGTCCACTTTGGACTGTCCATTGCCCAGCTTATTGATGTCGTGAGTAAAGTCTCACAGCCTTGTTAAGCTTCACCAGTAACAGCAATATCTTTCATGAAGGTTGATTTACATTATTATATTCTGTTGGTACAATCGTACTGTGCAAATTATACATTTTTCAGTGGCACTTTTTTTTTTTTTTTATGATCATAATAGCAACAGCAATAGGCAGAAGAGAAAGGTTTGATTATTCAAATCACTTATTAACAGAAATTAAACCGCAGCAGATGAGACATATTCTCCCTCAAATTAAATGTAGTTGTCAAGTATTCAAGCACTGGCACTAAACTGTTTAAATGTCTTCTAAACAGCAATGCGGAGACATTGTCGTAGCTTTGAGATTTAATATGTGCAGCCTGCATTGCTGCGGGCACGGTTCTCCAGGTTTTTGACACACAATTAGGTGACAGCGCTGGCTTCGCATGCCTGGTAGTGAGAGTCAGCTCTGGGTAAAGTTGTTGTTGCCTACAGTGTTTTCACTTTACTTTGTCTTAGATGTTCCTGGGGGAAAAGTTGAAGAAAGCAGCTTGTCAGCAAAGCAGTAGATACAGTACAGTGAGAGTGTTCCTTGGATGAAACAATACCTCATATTGTTTTTGTGGTGTGCTACACAACTAATTAGCTTTTTATAAATACAGTAGAGGCTGTGACTGTTTTGTGATGATGAATTCAAGTCTGACAAACAATTAATTTGAAATGAGATGAATATCAAAATTTTTTTCTTCTGTTGAATAAGGATGAGAAGAACCAGATGATGACCACAAACGTTTGGGTCAAACAAGTATGTAATGAAGGCAGACAAAACACATGCTAAAAATACAGTCCAGTATGAAGATGCAGTATGTACAGTAAATACAGTATGGTTCATGTGTCCCTATAGGAATGGAATGATTACAAACTCCGCTGGAACCCAGAGGAATATGAAAATGTCACCTCCATCCGAATTCCCTCAGAGATCATTTGGAGACCCGATATTGTCCTCTACAACAAGTGAGGATCTGTATCAGTATCTTGTATTAAACTGTAAGGACGTTTTTCACAGTCGCACAAGGGTGATCACTGTGATCTTAAATGTTGCTATTTTAAGACAAAAATAATCATACAGCAACTAATGTTCAGAGTCTGATGATGCAATTCCAGATGGTATGACTGGAGGGAAAACATGAAGATCCTGTTGTTGTGTCAAACATGTTGTCCTTTGCCAGTGTCATGAATTTAGCTGAAATGAATGTGAATAAGGTCAGAAATAATAATTGTGGCTGCAAACAAAGCTTGGTACATAATATAAAGCAATAGATTATGCTGGGAGTTAAAAGATGAAATGTGTGTGTGGATGTGTTTTAAAGTGCCCCAGATAAAGTACATCCAGTGTGAGTGCCTCAGGTATTGTATTCATTTCACTCTAAATAAGGTAAATCAGCTAATATGAAACACTATGAGAAACAGGCAAGATATGTTGAATACAACTGTCAAATTCACATCATTATACAAATGTCTTGCTCATTATTTGTAGGAACTAAGAAGGCCAGATGTGGAACAGTATGGGAATTACATTTTGAAATCAAATTTCATACACAGGGTAATTTTAAAGGCCTTTACATAAGTGAATAAAATGAGTGGCAGGAGTTTAAAAATCAGGTATTTGAGGTGATTTTATATGTTCATTTGTTTTAAACTTAATACAGTCTTGAGCTTGTTAAAATATCATTGAACCTATTAGATATACAAAGTGTCTTGTTTTGTTTGTTGAGTTGATATTTGGCCCTTCAGTCAAAATGCAGACTTAGATTTGTGATGATAAACAAACTTAAGGAACAGTGGCAGGCAGGCAGGCAGGCAGATGTTAATCAGTGCAGTTACAGTCAAAACAGATGAAGGCAAGGCACAACGTTAGATGATGATCTAGCACAGTGACTGATAGCTATTCTCTGCATGTACTAAAGGTAACTGCAACTAGGCGGGCGGAAAACTGGGGCGGATGATAGGCTGAGGCAGGGAATAATGGGTAGCACTCAGGTGTGTTATGGCAGGGCTGGAATGTGTTTAGTATGCACTACAGACATTAACTAGATTAACTATAGACAGAGGACGAAAGAGAGGATGGGGGCGGCTGTCAGCACTTTCGCTGGCACAGTATAAAGCACTGTCTTCAAGGATTTTTCATCTGGAACCAAAAACATTTGTGTTCTCGTTGTTTATTAATACATATTTTTGAGGCATCCAATCTTTTATAGTATTTGCTGGTGATACAGACATTTAAATATGTGTGTCATCAGCATACATACATTAGGAAAAATTGTTCCTTTGAAGAATTTGAGCTAATGTATGAATGCAAAAGATGGGAATAGAAAAATAAGATTAGAATCAGTATTCTGTTTTTAAAACAATATTGTGGCATTTTGTGTGATTTGCACTCATCATACTGTATAAAAAAGTTTCATGATTTGTCTTGCAGGTTAGTTAATAGAAAGTACTACTAACTCTTAGCTCGTAGGTCCTGGGAGTCATTGGTTGTGATGAAAACTGGTATAGCATTAACTCTTGTATCAAGAGGTGAAAAGAGTCAAAGATAAAAAAAAAACAACTAACAAACATGAAAGTTTGGTCTTGACCATAGAAACAGTGGTTTAAAAGCATTTTCTTTGGACGTTTCAGCTTTCCCCATGCCTAGTGAGGAAACACCATCTGCTGAGAACAGATGTAAAATGGCTTAAAGCTCCTAGCAAAGGCTAAGCAGTGGATCTCAGTCAAGCCAGATGGCATTGCTTGAAGACGTCTCCCAGAATTATAAACTTAAAATGCAACTTTTGATGAAGGCAACAGTGTAGTGTACATTTTAATAAGTGTGTTTCCATCTTTCTCCCCCTTTTATATCCTATTTTCATCTGCAAGTGCCGATGGAGACTTTGCAGTAACTCACCTAACGAAAGCACAACTGTTCTATGATGGTCGGATAAAGTGGATGCCACCAGCCATTTATAAGTCTTCATGCAGCATAGACGTCACCTTTTTCCCTTTTGACCAGCAAAGCTGCAAGATGAAGTTTGGCTCATGGACTTATGACCGTGCCAAGATTGATCTGATCAGCATGGCCAGTGATGTGGACCAGATGGACTACTGGGAAAGTGGTGAGTGGGTTATTGTCAACGCAGTGGGCAAGTACAATACCAAAAAGTATGAGTGCTGCGCAGAGATCTACGCGGACATAACTTACTACTTCATCATCCGGAGGCTTCCGTTGTTCTACACCATTAACCTCATTATCCCCTGTCTGCTGATCTCCTGTTTGACTGTGCTGGTGTTCTATTTGCCATCACAGTGTGGAGAGAAGATTACTTTGTGTATCTCAGTGTTACTGTCCCTAACAGTGTTCCTCTTGCTGATCACAGAGATCATACCATCTACATCTCTGGTGATTCCACTGATTGGTGAGTACTTGCTGTTCACCATGATCTTTGTCACGCTCTCTATCGTAATTACTGTCTTCGTGTTAAATGTACATCACCGATCGCCAAAAACACACAGCATGCCCCACTGGGTGCGGAGAGTATTCTTGGACTTGGTACCTAGAGTCCTCTTCATGAAGCGTCCACCAGGCACTGCAAAGCAGCACTGCAAGAAGCTTCTTGAGATGATGCACCGTCCAACCACAGTATCTGCAACTGGGAACTCGCAGGCCTTTTGGACAGGGTTAGAGACGGGGCTGAGACAAATGGGACAGGTAGAGAATACTCTTCCAAAAACTCCGACTGAGAGCCCAAGCATCCTTGTCTGCTCACCTTCTCCAACCGCTTCCCCTCTTAAGGACACCAATGAGGAAGACCACCCGCTAATGGCCAATGCTTTCTGCCAATCCTCATCCGGTCAGTGTTCAGTTGTCTCAGAGAAACAAACCCTACATGGACACAACTCTGCAGCCTTGTCTTCTTCCCGATTGTCCTTGCCCCCGACGTTGCCACTGTGCCCACTTTGGAGCCAATCTAAGGAAGAAATGAATACACTGGCCCCAAATGGCCGCTCCATCAGCGTAGAGCAAATGTGTGACCAACAGACGAAGCTTGTTCAGAGAGCTGGGCATCTGTGTCGCTCCCACAGCTTCCACTACTGCTGTCTGCATAATAACGGGCCTGGGGTGGTTGGGTTTGCAGGACAGGTGAAGAAACAAGCCCTTGCAAAGCATGTAGGAGAAACCCTCACAGCAGAGTCCACTAAAGATGCGAGTACCCAACATGACATAATGGTTCCCACTATTTCCCCAGCTATGCAGCGGGCTATAGAGGGGGTTCAGTACATCGCTGATCATCTCAGGGCAGAGGATGGAGACTTTTCAGTAAGTTGACAAAAATTACATTCAAGTAACAACTTCTAAATACTTATGTAGTGCTCATACTTACAAGATGTATTCACTATCTCTCAATGTGCAGTGCCTTCAGTCGATGCAGTTTGGTGGTCACTTTATAGTCAAATGAAGCTATTGTTTGAATATGAAAAAAGATTAAATATTTGCACTGTAGTAATCTGTTTGAATTCATTCCACCAAGGGGTGTTTCTACAATGTACTGTCCATCTGTTTGCAGATTTAGTTATACAGAACTGCTTTGCAGCAGCTTTACTCGTATTCAAAGGGTTTTACACAGATAAGGCAGCAGAAGAACAGAAAATGAACAGAACACAGTCTGTGAAAAAAGTAGGATAAAAGCATGGGCAGGATAGCATTGACTGTGGTACAGTAGCTATCCTCTAGGGGTGAACACCGGTATATCTTTCCTGAACATCTCTGATAGCTACTGCACAGCGTGAACACAACAAATCATGCACTTTTAAAGGTTTTATATTGTTAATCTTTAAATTTGTGGAACAAGAGAAATTAAAACATGACAAATGTAAAATTAGATGTGGAATTTAGTATATTTGTTAGTGTATAATTATTGTCAATACTACAATGGAGATGTTTCACCAGAAAAGGCCTGTCCCTCAGTAATTTGACCTTGAATTTATCATAAGAGAAACAAACAAGAATTGAGTGACATTTAGGAGATAGCTGCCTCATAATGAAAAAAAATCATCCATTTGAGAGAAATCAGTCAGGTGTGAAAACTGACAGCTGGTAAAGTGTTCTGCTGTTTCTCCTCTCTGCTAGGTGAAGGAGGACTGGAAATATGTGGCCATGGTCATTGACAGGATATTCCTCTGGATGTTTGTACTGGTGTGTATACTGGGATCAGTGGGACTCTTTCTTCCTCCTTGGCTAGCTGGAATGATCTAGAAGCTTGTCATCAATTAACAAAAAAAGTCCAAGAACTCTGACAGGAAGACATGGTCTTATATTATTTAAAAAAAGTTTATAATTTATCTTATTATTTTCTATTTTTCAAAGAGACTACAAGTCACACTCCTTGCTCTTGCTCCAGGTTATCAAAAGGTTTACCAGGTGTATAAATTTTGAATGGGGGCAGCCGTCCAACAAAGAAAATATCCTTCCGCATCACTCCATTTTGACGTTGAGTTATATTGATTGAGGATTAAAAAACAGTGAAGAGTTGACTCTGACCTATATGTGAACAACACAGAAGACCAAGGTCTTGTGAAGAATTTGTAACAAATTTATAACATTTTTTTAATCTCAAAATGAAGATTCTTATAAAATCAGTGCTGTATGTTGGCAATAGCACAGTTGACTGTGCTGTGCTCTCATCAAATATTCAAAAGACGATTCTGTTTCTGTACAAGGAAGGAGCTGTGCTGCTCTTTTCTAATCCAAGCAATTGAATCAACACATTTATTCAATATTTGCTTCAGCAATTCTTTTTATCACTGCCACAGGAAAGGCAGTGTTGTTTCTATCAGTCCACCACCTTGGTCCAGACTAAAATATCCACAGTCTGGATTGCAGTAAAATTCTGATCATTCTAGTCATTTTAATCAAGATCATTTTGGTGATTCCTTGACCTTTCCTCTAGCATTATGAACAGATCAATTTAATTCATAATGAGTTGTAATCAAATTTGCCATTCATGAGGTAGGAACCCTAATGACTCTGGTGATCTCCTGACTTTATCTACAGTACTGACACCATGAGGCTCACATTCGTGGTTTTAAGTGAAATGTCCCAACTCGACAGCTTTTGGATGGACTGATATTTGGTACAGGCATGTTCCCTTTGGGAACAATTGTACTATCATTGTTTTACTTTGTCTGGCAATTTATTGGACATGACCCAAATAACTGCAAGACTAATGACATTAAGCTCAAAGCACCACTGTGCAGCCACACAGAACTGCTAGCGTAGCTGTAGTCTCGTTGCATTCCCATCACTAAGTCAGGTAATATTCAAATAACTGCTGCTGTGTAAAACCTCACAAACACATTCTGCTCTGGGTTATATCCAAAGGGTACAGTTTGTACCACAGAAGTCTGAAAATTGATCCAAATTGTCATGTTTAGGCATTTGTTTCACTATTACTGTTGAAACATTTCAGGATAATTAACATTTCTCACAAGAGCTGTTGAGTATATCTAAGTGTTTTTCAATTATTTACAGAAGTTTCATCTTTTATGTCCTTAAACAGCATATACAAGCACTTAATGTCATCACTTAAAAATTATGACACTGAACAGAACATAAAACAACCCACCAAACTGCTGAACATTTAGTTCACAGTGGCTACAATGAGCTACAGTATATTCCTGTTTGAACATTTTCATTTTGTTTTTAAGTTGTATTCAAATGGGAATCCCTTTCTGTTGAACATACAAGAAAAAATGTGAATATTTTATGTACACAAAGTATTTATTTGAGATGCTTTACTTCATTGTGTTGACTTCTTGCCGTTTGTTTTTAATACCATTTGACTCAGTATTGATTAAGCATGAGTTTTTTTCTTGATTTTCTATGTTATGTGTTTATAAAATAAAACTAAACCAAACAAGGTACAACAGTATTTATTAAAAAACTATCTGAATACCCAAGATTTATTTTGACTTCATCTTTTTCTTAAAAATTAGCATTTTTGGCTTAAATAGCAGTCTCTCCTTAAATCACGATTGAGCTGTAAGCGTTTAAGACAAATTTATAGAATAAATAACAATGAGTACAGTGACAAATGCATCATTGAATGGATGGGAAACTTAAACAATGAAACTCCATTGTATGAACAAATGAAAAAACACAAATGGTACTCAGGGGTATACCTGTAGTTTCTCTGTTTCCACTAATTTTCCACTAATGATTTCCAGTGGAAAATGAACATATAGAAATGTCCCTAATCTGTATTTTAGTAATGTTTGTTGTAGTCACAGTAGAGTAGTCTTGGCTCACTGCAATTTAATGCAGTTTCCACATGCTTAAATTATACTCAGGAGCCCATTGTTCGTATTAAAAACATACATTCTATAAAACTAAAAGTGCAAAAAATGTAACTTGTCTGCTATGGAAAAAAATTAACATCCAGTCTTTTGCATAATTTCTCTAAATTGTTAGTGTACCCACCCAACACAAAAAATAGCATATTACTACTGCCAGGAAGGCATCACCTCATAAGTCTACATCCTGTTTTTCCACCTTACTAAAAACTTAGATGTGATTAGAGCTAAAAGCATGTAATATTACACCAGAATGTCCAAAGTGATGACCTCAGTTTTGACCTCAGCCAACAAACTACGTATTGTATTTTCTCTGGCTCAGCAGAAGACACACTACTGATCATTATGGAAAATCACAGACAAGAAAAATGGCAATTTACCACAATATGGCCCAAGACAAGATGAAATACCTGAAGTGTATATATTCAGTTCTTCAACATCCATCGAAGAAAGGCTGGGTGATAACACTGTGGCTTTGTGGTAACTCCAAATGAGTTTAAAAAAAAAAAAAAAACAAGCTTCAGTTAGTCTTTTGTCTGTACGCACAGATTCATATATGAACGGATATTAATTTCCATTTGCTCTTCCAGTTTCCTCTGGAAACACATTACCATGAAATATTGTCAATTGAATTCTTGAATAAAATGAGGCTGTTCTTTATTAAACTACAAACTAATTTCCATAAAGTGATAAGACAGGACTTTCACATGCATTATTTCAGTATTAAATACTTGTACAAAGGCAAATGACAAATTAATTCAGATGGCAGAGCTCCACATAAATTTTATGGGCTGCCTCAAGAAAGCAATGCAATGCCGCATGAGTACACTGAGTTATTAATCTCAACTAAATGTCGTGTTATTAAATTCACCTTGATAAATTAAATTTTTGTCTTTGTATATACCAGGGCTTTGATAATTAATTTAGATAAGGGGAGGTGTTTTAATTTCATAACTTTGGCTAAATCCAGTGATTAGATGCTTGGCACATGATGAACCTGAAAGTAATACCGTTTCCTGAGAGACTGTTAGAAAACTGTATGTATAGTATGCACTGTGTGGGCAGTATGCAAGTTTGAGACATGTATAAAGAGCAGTGCCAGCCATACCTATTGAAGGGCTTCTTACATAATTTCATTTTCACTGTAAATAACAGTCTAAGATGAGAATAGGCCTCTATATGATTTTAAAAATATGCAATGTACAATACATTCAAGTAAGGAAGCTGAGAATTGCAATTTTTTGATGCAAATTATTTTATGTCAAAATGTCTTGAGCAGATGTTTTGATTGTTTCCAGCAGAAATGAGGACCATGTAAAAGGATTTTACATATGTACCGTACAAGATGATGGCTACATACAATGTACACTGCTCAAAAAAATAAAGGGAACACTTAAACAACACAATGTAACTCCAAGTCAATCACACTTCTGTGAAATCAAACTGTCCACTTAGGTAGCAACACTGATTGACAATCAATTCCACATGCTGTTGTGCAAATGGAATAGACAACAGGTGGAAAGCATAGGCAGGTAGCAAGACATCCCCAATAAAGGAGTGGTTCTGCAGGTGGTGACCACAGACCACTTCTCAGTTCCTATGCTTTCTGGCTGATGGTTTGGTCACTTTTGAATGCTGGCGGTGCTTTCACTCTAGTGGTAGCATGAGACGGAGTCTACAACCCACACAAGTGGCTCAGGTAGTGCAGCTCAAAATATGATAATGATGGGATTTTTCTGAAGCCAGATAGTACAAATGCATTACAATTTGCTCAGCAGTTAGAAACTGCTATCTGTGGGTGCCTGTTAGACTGCAAATTTGTACCATATAGAGCTAGGCTAACAGGACATTAGAAAGTTTACCCTGATCTAGACATCTAAAGGCCAATCCCTGCAGTCTGGCAGCCCCTAGTTCCACAGGTCAGCATGAATTCCTAAGTAAGACATCTGTCAAGGTGGCCGTCCAATAAATTCTCCCATCAAACCCCCTTGATCACATAGTCCAGGCTCCGATAAGTGACGATTACCTGGGACGACTCCCCCGAATAGGCCAGTCTGAAGCTATACATGAGATAGATGTCAGCAGGAGTGTGCAGCGCATATAGAGGCATGTAACACACCTATACCTGAACACACACACAATAAATCTGTGGCAGGCTGGGCAGCGATATCCCCAGAGACCTGAAGCTCATAAATGGGGTGAAGCGCATTTCCCTGAGGAATCCCATTAAATAAACCATCATCAATTGTGGTGCGATTCCTCCTGTCACCAGCAACCTAAAAGTGCTGCCACTAAATAGATCAGAGTGCAAGCTTCCCCCCATGGAGGGTTTCATGCAGTGGTGGAAAGTAACCAAGTACATTTATTCAAGTACAAGTTTAAGGTATCTGTACTTTATTTCACTATTTTCATTTTCTGCTACTTTATACTTGGACTTCACTTCATCTCAGAGGTAAATATACTTTCTATTCCACTACATTTATTTTATAATTGTAGTATTTTTAGACTGTTGTATTGCTACTTTTACATAAAGGAACTGAGTAATTCTTACACCACTGGTTACATGAGTTCTGCATGTGCGACTACTTTCTGCTCCACCACAGTCCATCCAGTGACTTCACAGATGGATTACACAGTGTATTGTATCTCTGTGCTCTTGATGCTTTAACATGATTAACATGAGGTATCTACATTCTCTTCATCTTTAAGAACAACACAGTTGCTGGGATTTGCTGGCAGTCACTGGTTTTCTATCTTTCTTTCAGGAAGTCAGGCTTCAATTGAAATTTTTTTAATGGCCTAAAAGTAGACATAATTTCATCATTATGCCATGTTACATTCATATTTCCTATTAAATTTCCTATAAAAAAGGAAACGTATCTATAGCTACCTATTATCATGACTTCAGTCTTTATTTAATGGTCTGAAAGGCAGCAAGGTAGATACGGCCACTACCAGACCAACCCACCATGTACAATGTGTCAGATCTATGAGCAGAAAAGCTGCTCTCCAGATTCATCACTTAATAGAAAGGTTATGGTCATAGCTTCAAGGATGCTGTATATGAGCCAGTAAGGTGAATGGGTGAATGGAGGAGCTTCACTTTAAAACTCTGTAAAGGTCTTCAACTCAGACTTTAAAATCAGTCAGAAATCTACGGTAGGTCTAGGTATGCTGCACTAACCAGTGGAGCAGCCTCTGGCCAGAATAACAGAAACCTACTGCAGAAAAGTGTAACAAAGAATACAAGGCAGAGAAGACCAAAGAGCCGGTGCTAAATTTCCGCAGGCACGGACGCCCCCCTCTGACACTAGTGAACATCCAGGGAATGGACATCAACAATAAACTGAACTGGTCAAACAACATTGACACACTTTACAAGAAAGGCCAGAGCAGGCTGTACATGCTGAGGAGACTAAGGGTGTTTGGAGTGCAGGGGACACTCCTGAGGACAGGAGCAACAGCAGCCATCTTCTATCGAGAGGTCTGCTTGGGCAGCAGCATCTTGCACATGGACAGGAAAAGACTAGACAAACTGATTAAGAGGGCCAGCCTTGTCCTGGGAAGTCCCCTTGATGCAGTGCAGGTGCTGGGTGACAGGAAGATGTTAGCCAAGCTAGCATCCTTACTGGAGAAGGATTCCCACCCCCATGCACAAGATTCTGTCAGCACTGGGCAGCTCTGTCAATGACAGACTGCTTCACTCCAAGTGAGTGATGGAGTATTATTGCAGGTCCTTCCTTCCTGCTGCTAACAGGCTGTACAACCAACATTACTCCCAGTAGATCTCCCCCCGTTGACCTCATACACCTACAGACTGTCAAAACTGTAAATACTCAGCATACCAGTGTGTAATATTATTTTTACTTTTTATTATATTTATATTGTTTATATTGATAATACCTTATCTGTTACTTTTCTGTTTGTAACACTGATGCCTTGTTTCTATCCCTTTGTGAATTTCCCGTTGTGGAACTCATAAAGGTTCATCTTATCTTAATGAAACTTCTTTACACTGTATTTGTGTAAAGGTGTTTGGTAAAAAGAAAGAAAAATGCACAGTAGTGTCTCCAAATACATATTTTTAGTGCGTGTAAAGAAAAATACAGACAAAATGTTCGTTAGAAATAATAATCTGCTTTTAACATCACTGTCAACTGTACCATTTAAAATCAAACTCTTCAGTGTATGTTCCAGTCTTCATGACAGCCAGCTCAAATCCATAACGTGGTGAGAAATAATGCTAAAACTATCTTAAAAATACAGTATAGGAAATAACTGACAACAAGCAAGGGACGAAAGCTCACTTCAGGCAAGCAGTGCTTCCCTTTATCCTCCAAGTCTCTGAGAGAACTGGACTTAGAACTCAGTCATCTTCTTGTGTGTGTCAACCTTCTTGTGTGCTTTCTGGATGGACAGCTCCTGGGCTTTCTGCTCAGCCAGCAGCTGGCGGGCTGCTGACAGCTTCTCTTCCAGCCTCTTCACTATGGCTGCATCCCTTCGCACACACAAAAAACAGATAGATTAGGAAATGGGGAAGACAACAAGGAGACAGGTTTGGTTTCAGCTGCACTCTTCCAGAATAAGTTGGTTATGACAGCAAGTGTCTAACCTTGAATATTCACACCTTTTTTGCATTTTCTCACAACTCCCATCCTTATTTGTGAATTCAAATCAATAACCTTTTTACTTGACAGGGATGTCGCAGCAAATAATGCTCATCTTTCACAATAAATTCTAGCTGTGTAAGCAGTGTATTTATGCAGGTAGAGATGGTATGGGTGCTAATGTGTCAGGGACCTGAGGCTCCATTGCAATTAACTGATTATTAATGACATCTTGATTTATTTAAGGTCAGTTAACACCGTTCACAGAAGTCAAACTAGACATATCGAAATGTTCAATAAACATCATAAAAGTTACATATGTTGGCAGTCAATACTGACCTGGTTGTTTGCCGGCTGAGTGACTTAGTCAGATTCTGGATCTCCCTCTCTGTCTGGGACACCCTCTGAGCAGCCTGGTACAGCTTCACATTCAGATTCCTCTTGGTGCTTTGCCCTCCCCTGTAAGCCTCCACCCCAATTGGTGCTGATGGCACAGCGGCTCCCCCCTCAGCAGGATCAGTGCTCTTGCCTCCTAGCTTGTGGTTGAGAAAGTCAAAGACGGTACGGCGCCTCCCTGTGGCCGCCCGAGGCTTTTTGCGTTTCCTTGGGAGGCCTGTTAGTGTGCCATTCTTTGCGGCCTTGCTCTGTGTGCGTCTATGGGTTAACTCAGCACACTGGTCCAGAGAATTGCCTTTGGCTAGGACCACTGCCATAATTGGCTCTACTCGCCCGTCTTGCCTCTTTCCCAAGCCTGAGAAATTGAAAGAGAATGACTGAGGAAAAGAAAGACAGCACTATTTCTTTTCACATCTGTACACAGGGAAAAGAAATTCATTTTAATTTTTGTAAGTAATGGCTGTGGAATAGTTTGTCTTCTGATTTGACCCATATTATCTCTTTGTGTGCAGGTGGCAACACACAGAGCCCAGAAACCAACTCGAATTGTGACACAAGTGCTTTGGTCAAGGGCAAAAGCAGAAGGATTTTGAAAACCTAGTATGATGTTTTTAGAGGGGAAAGAAATCTTGGGGAGACGCATGCAAACTCCACACGTCATGTCTCCGGGTGCTATACTGCAAAGAGTTTTGGTGAGTCACTCTGTTGGCTGTAACTTTGGCATGAATGTGACAGGGGGAAATCAACTAATGTGCTACATCTGTTCTACTGCCTTTATGAAAATGGCTGTGAAAAAAATATTTAAAATGAAACTGGAGTGCGAGTATAACTCATTTTATGAAAAAAAAAAAAAACCAACAATACAGCAAGCAAGGTACAAACTACTACATAGTCACGACAGACCACTGTGAATCAGATAATGAAATGCAGTCACTGTTGTACAGTTGTACTTACCTTTCCCATGTTCATAGCCCATTTTCAACATAAGCTTGGAGCCCATGCATCTGGTATGTGCCTCCCAGCCACCAAAAACAGTGGTATCTACAGAAGAGTCCATAACTGTTGGGTAAGGATTGAAAACAAAAAGAGAAACAGTTGATTACTTTTTAATGGAGAACTAACTTAAGCTCAAACAAATGCATATGTATAATAATTTACTGGCATGTAAAAAAGAATAAAAGGTCAGGGACTGAAGGAAGCTTACAATGTGCCATCACAGTTCTATGAAACTACCTCCAGGTCGCTTCTCTGGCTCAAAGATTGTCCCAGGAATGGTAACACATATCTAAACACACCTTTGGCATAAGCTACATCATGTCCGTTGTCGTCAGGTTCAGAGTCAGAGGACAGCGGGTCATCTTCTCTTAATGGCGGGATAATGCTGTCTGCCTCGACCACAGCGTCTTTCATCAGCAGTGAGTCAAACTTCACAGTGTAGAATCCACCATCTATATCTACATAGAGAGAAAACATTCGGATCAGCGAAACATACAAACACATTTCCTACTGTCTTGGTTGTTTTTGTTACATTGTACAACTCTAATCAAATGACTGGATTAAGATTTTCAGGAAATATATCTGTTGTACTTTTACTGCTGAACTTATCAGGATTTACTGTAAAAACACACCGTCAAAAACTGGCACTGTGAAGAAAATACCTTTGATTTTGGCAGGGTACCAGATGCCGTCCTCATGTCGAGCCAAGCAGGACGAGCCTTCTTCAAGATTGCTGAGGTCACTCTCCACAAAGTCTCTGAGCTCTGACAAGTGCACCACTTCCCCATGGGAGAACCTTCAGTAACATAAAAACAACTTAGAACATACTGATTGTAGAGGACTGAATGAAAGGTGGATTATATAGTAAATAATCTAGGGTTTCAACAGACTGAGGCTCATACTAAAAATACATCCCCAGTAATTTAGATGATCACTGGACACCAACACTGTGACATGAAGTGAAAATTAAAACAGAAGGTGTGAAGAAAACATGTCATCATTTTTTATACTGTTTTCTGTAGCTATGGTCAAGAAAAGCCTGCATCACACGGACAATGGGTGACACTTGCTGAACGGTTTTGCATGTTTAAATGTGAAAAGCATAGTGGCACTGTACCTGCAATTATCCTGGAAGCGACATTTATCCTCTAAGTAGAATGGACAGGGTTTCATAGACTTTTGGGTGGGGTAGACATAGAGCACTCTTACTTGTGCCTCTTCTCCATCTGGTGGTTCTGCTCCCACTACCATGGCATTGTGATACTCTAGTGTGCCCCATGTTGTCCGGTAGGGTGCTCTGACTTTACTACCACTAAGTGCATCTTCTTCTTCTTCCTCCTCTTCTAATCTACTGTCCCCCTTGTTGTCCCTCTCTCTGGCATCAGAGCTACTACCCGAAGACTCCCCCACTTCAGAGTAAAAAGCAGCAAATTCTGGGTCCAAACCGCTGTTTTCACTTTCTGCGTCAGCTGCTGCCTCTGAAGTGTTTGCCTGCAGGTCCCTGTAGTCCTCAAGGCTGGCCAGAAGTTGACTCTTTTTGACAGACACCAAGCTGGACTCAGTAAGCTCTATGAGCTGGCAAAGGTCTTCTTTTAGTTTGAGCAGGTCTGACTGCTGGGAGGGGTCCAATCCAGTCGACAGGGCCATCTCGACCTGCTGCAACTGAACTCCATAGGTAGTGATGGCTGCCTCAAGCGCTTCTTCATCCATACTGACACCTGGCACCCAGCAGTACAGGAATGGATGGCAAAAAGTACCTGAATCACCCAAGGAAAAATATGATTTAAAGTGGAATCAAATAAGCAGTTTTTAGCAGAAGAGGGTCATGCACTGGTAGAGCTAACCTCCTTATGCACGTTGCAAAGTGCCATTGTTCTTCCTCATCACATTATAAACAGTTTGTCCTTTCCTGAATCGTATTTATTTCATTGTTTAATGGCAAAAACTATGTGTAAATTGTCAGATATTCTGAATGAGTGTGTTAGGGCAAACTAAAAGGTAGCCAACCTTAACTTGTATGTTTTTACATTTTCTTGTAATGAGAACTTCGTCCTGCACTGATTATAACGTTATGTTATGAAAGCTTAGATGAACGACTCACTGAGCTCCTCTATAGTAGGTACCATCAACTTTGCTAATAGATTTAGCTAACCTCGCTATGAATCGCTAAGCCAGCTAGCTAACATTACACATCAGAGCAAGTTCTAGCTAAATAATAACAGTCTTCAAGCTAACTTTTACAAGAAATTATAACAATACTAACATTACCTTCGTAATTAGGCTTGGCTGTTGGACAGGAAACTGTCAGCCATAAAAAATTGTTCTATGTTAAGAAATACAGATGATCACAACACAAAGCAGCTCAGTGTCAAGCTGCCAAAAAATGAACCAATGGTTCTGAAGTGAATGAAAGGCTAACTTCCGTTGACAATAGTTTACTTTTCAAAATAAAACATATCCAGAGGGTAGACGCGCTTCAGACCGGGTGTCAGAACATTAGAAATGCAGTTGGTACTGTTAAACTAGTTTCTAAAGACTCTTTTATTTTTAAATTAGATTGGAAAAATTCATAAGATATCTTTTTTGAATAAGGAAATTTAAGTTTTGCGTAACAAACACTTTAACAGCTGAGATGTGTAAAATTATTGGAAATTACAAATATTAACAAACACCAATGTTAACTGAGTTTGGAAATGCACTGGCATGTCGAAATTCACAGATTTCTTAGATGAAAATGCTATCTATCATACAATTTTATAGGTTTTTCTTTTTCACATGAGATCATTTTTATTAATGCGACTATTCGTCGGCACTCACGGTTGTCTTCCTTGTGTCCTGCGGAACGCTACAATATTATTACTTTGAAGATATACCCCCCAAACCCGGAAGTCTTAGTTTTGCTATACGTAAAACGTGTGCGTCGTGGACGTAGAATTATGACGGCTGTCAGCTTCATTACTCTCCGATGTTACCTTTTTATATCTAAAGTTAAGCCTCTCCTGTGGACCTATTGTTCCGCGGACATAACACTGCTAATGTGAAGGTAGGCCGCTTGTGTATTGACGCTAGTACCGCAGTGCAGCTTCAGAATCACGCTGCATGCTTTGTTGTGTAGATGCTAATAATGCTCTGCAGGCACTGCCTGGACATGCTTCTATTGTAACTGTTTCTTAACTTACATAAAGTATCCACTTTGTCTCATATGTATGCAACAGTTGCTTCGCCTTCCTTTCGGAGGGAAACAGGATTTAGAGATGATGGCTTGTACTCTCTTAAACATCAACGTGTTGTTGAGCAATTTGTTATGGACATACAAATAGATTTAAGGCACACAAGCCACGGATGTGTTTGTTACCAGCCACGAATATTTTAACATCGTATTTAAAAAAGTGCTTTTAATATTTCTTAGATACTGATTGATTAAAGCTTTAAAATATCATCTCAAAAAGTTACCAGGCAACATGGCAGGTGACCATTATATATTTAATCACAAAGACAAATATTTTTTTGTTCTAAGAACACATTAATTTCATTTTCTCTGGTACATGAGAAGTTATGCAGTTGTCCTACTATAATAAGTCCTCTTTTTCTTTTTATGTTTCCTCACTCAAGTGACCTCTGTTGTGATGCCTCCAACCATGGCTCCTATCAGTGATCCAAAGATTGCTTTTGCCTACCTACGCCCAGCTTGTGTCTTGCTCACTCGAGAGCCCACTGTTACCAATGTAGAAACACTGAATGCCCAGCTGAAAGAGGTCAGTGATGCCGCATTGCAGCAGCTCCAAGAGTACGTCCTCTACCCTCTTCGCTTTGTCCTTAAAGTCCCTGGGCTCAAGAAGAACAAACTGGTGCAGGCTGTGGCCGAGGCCATGAGCCACATCCTGGAGAACACTTGTGTCCAGAGCTGGGAGACCCTTCATGACCTCTTCTCAGAGCTAACCCTGTGCCTCTGCTCTCCAACCAATCCTGGGAAACCTGCAGATACATCAGAGGAGCTGAAACTGGCTGTGCTGAGATGCCTGGATGCCTTGTTACATGCTGCTTATGGTGATATAGTCTTTAAACTCTTTGAACCAATCATGCTGCCTGAACTGGGAACTGCCATCTCACTACTGCTGGCTTTAGGAGAGAAGGAGAAATCTCGGGATATACAGGCAGCAGCCTTGAAGTGCCTCCAGGCTTTGACTGTGCAGTGTGACTGTGCTCAGGAGCACGTAGTCCCATCCTCAGAGGAGCGACGTGCTATAGGCAGCACCATGGCTTCAGCCTTACCTGGGATCACTATGGCTGTAGCCAGGATTATTACAGGAGATCTGAGACAAGGCCATGTCGTCACAGTCAGGGCCATCAAGGTGCACTACGGGCTAGCTCTCTCTGCTTTTAATTTGTGTTCAGGCTTGTGTTGGACTGTGTGTATTATGATGGATTACACACAAGTTTACATAAATATTTTACAGTTAGAATTATTATTATATATTACTATTGCTGCAACTAGGTATTATTTTTACTATATGTTGATTGTTTTTCCAGAATAATGTAGTCTCTAAAATTCAGAAAGCAACAATTCAGTTTAATTCACTTTTATTTGTATAGTGCCAATTCACAATAAAAATCATCTCAAGGCACTTTACATAGAGATAAACCCAACAAATCCCAGACTCCAAGGTGATTTGACAAACTACAACAATGTTGCTTCATAAATGACTTAAATAATTAATCCATTATCATATTTGTACAGTTTGAGATTTGAATAATTTTCCATTGATAGTCTACTGTATATACTGTTTCAGAACCTTTTCCAAGAGACTTCTATTAACATTCAGTATGCGTGTTATTGTTTCTTGGCATCATCTCCTTGTTAGAACCTCCTTGGCTAAATGTACTTAAATTTGTGTATGTTTCTTCATTTAGTTCAATATGATTGATCAAATGAGAACTCTTTGAAACTTGCCAATAAATAACTTCTGGGACATTACTATATCTATAGCTAATTTTACAGAGTAAAACTCTAACCTGGTAGGATAACAGGTTGTGTGTGCAAGGAGATGGCAAATTAAACTAGAAAATAATATAATGTGATTATATCCAAGTGCACATGTAATTGAAGAGTTGACTCATGCCACATCATCTCTCTTTGCTCTCTTTGCCATTCAGGTTTGGTCTACGACTGTGGGGCTTGTCATGGAAGACAGCCAGCTTCAGACCAGTGAGCCCTGGAAGACTCCCTCAGCAGAGCTGGGGAGGATCGCGCAGCTTGTAGTCCATCGAACACAAGATTGGGTGAAGAACACAGTGGGGAAGCTGTCTGTGTTGCTGAGGAAGATCATCTCCTGCACCTCGGCCCACCAGCACTGGAGGGTTCGGCTGGAGATGGTGGAACTGGCTGATCACTTGCTGGCCAGGTGTAGCCAGTCACTAGGAGAGTGTGTGGGGCCACTACTGGAGGCACTTATAGGAGCAGTCAATGATGAGGAGCCCAGAGTCAGAGAGAGGTTTTACTTGACATTTATGTGAGGAAAAAGAACTAAGACTGATCTATTCAAGATGCTTACTGAAGATCCTCTTTTCTCCTCTCCTGTAGGTGTGAGGCTGCTCTCAGAGAGGTATCACAGAGAAACCAGAGCCATAGCAGCAGCCATGCTCAGACGTTCACTGACGTGCTCTCAGAGAATCTTCACTGTTTAGCCACCTCCCTGCCCAGACTGATGAGAACCTCTGATGACCAGAAGAAGCTGTTTGTCCTCAGTGTGTTTCTGGGTTATTTAAAAGTTCTGGGACCATTCATCTCTGTGGTGCTGACCTCAGCTGCACACCTCCAGAGGATTTCCAAAGCCTTGATGCAGGTAATGTTTGCATTTTAATAGCTGAAAAGCAAGAAGTTACATGTCGTCTTGTTTTATAAAACAGTGTATGCAACACAGGCTAACATGTGATTACACGTCATTTTAAACACAACAGACACTGTACGCTTTTTCAGGTGCTGGAGCTAGATGTGATGGATGTTCGTATTGTGGAAGAAAGAAGTTACAGCTCTACAATAGAAACGAGTTCAACCTCTCAAGATTCCTTCACTGCTCACACACAGAGGAAGCATTTCCTGTACTTCACTGATGAGAAGATCTACTCTGTGCTCATGGAGATCTGTCGGCTTTTAGGCACGAGTACTGTTTCATATGAACATGAGGGATGAGCTGTATCAAAATGACTTACTTTCCTTATTTTTATGCATATGTAGCAGTCCTGTAAAGCATTTATAAATAATGAAGTTGGGCTAATGTAGAGGTGTGGTGTGAATATTTATGAATTAAAGCGTATATGTTTACCTTTTACTTTTTTTGGCATCTCTCATGCCAATAAAACAACAAGTAACTTTCCCTTTTTCTGTCTTTAGGTTACTATGGAAACATTTACCTGTTAACTGATCACTTTCTGGATCTGTACCGCCAGTCTTCAGCATATAGGAAGCAGGCTGCCATGGTGCTAAATGAGATCATCAGGGGTGCCGCAGGAATTGACGTGGCAATAGAGGGTTGGAGTTTGGAGGGTGAAGGTCGGAGACACTCAGCAACCCAGGAAGACCTTAAAGCGACAGTGGTGTCTGTTATGGAAGAATACACCAGTCTGAACAACTGGCACTTGATAACAGTCAGTGAGGAGACGGATAAAGACCGACAGGACCAGCAGGTGGCGATAGTTTCAATGCTTGTCCTGAATCAAGATTTTACCTTAGTACAGTTTAACACTGACTTAGTGACATGCACTTCACTTATAACCAGTTTGCAGGATGATTAAAGAAATGGCACAGCATTTTGGGAAATACTCTTATTC